GAGTTAACGATAAAAACAATAACAAAATAACGCTGAAAACCGATAAAAACCCTGAAAACCATACATTTCACACCTGAGCCTCAAATGACTCACGGACCGCTACCGGTCCGAGGCCCGGGGGTCGGGGACCGCTGCTGTACAGTAGGAATGCTCAGACCTCTACATTGGAGAAATCAAACAGCCACTTCATAAATGCTTGGCACAACATAGAAGAGCTACCTTGATGGGACAAGACTCAGCTGTCCATCTGCATCTAAAGGACAAAGGACACTAAAGGACACTCTTTCGAGGACGCCAATGTTCCCATTTTGGACAGAGAAGACAGATGGCTTGAAAGAGGAGTGAAAGAAGCCATCTATGTCTTCAAGCAACTTAAAGAAGTCGAGACGTTTTTCTTTCCAATATCCTTAGATGACATTTAGTAGCCATTTTCTGTTAGCACTCTTTTGACATTATTAAACACAAAAATTACAGATACCATGTATGGCGCTCTAATGCTCTCGTGGGTGTATTGGTAATACTTACAAACAAATATGTTGTAATCAATAAGCACTGTCATCGTGGTATCTTAAAATGCTGTTTCATCAGTCTTAAACGCACTGGCTTCCTCAAAACGCCTCGCCCATCTCACGGTCTCACTGGGCCAACATGCAGTAAAGCTGAAGGCGGCTTGATGTTAGTGCACTTTCATTTGAAACTGCCATCGCTACAAATGACTGCTTAAAATAACTTTGCCACTTTATGAGCTCACCTTGTGTTACATCATTTGGAGAAGGGCTTACTGCCACTTTATCCCCCTGTCTTCGCCTCAGTACTCATTGTAAAAAACATTTTGTGTGTGTGTTTAAGGCAGCGTGTCAATAAACAGCTTCAAATACAAATGGCTTATGTTTACTTCCAGGCTCTGGGGAGGCCAGTCCAGGTCGATTAAAACTTGATTGTACTTTTTTTGCAGTTTTGCATTAATAATTCCATAAATTTTGACAACACCCCCAATAGCACCGGGTGAAATGCAGCCCTCATCTATAGATCCATCTATATATATATCTATATATATATATATATATGACCAACCATATATATAGATGGCCAATGACCAAAGCAATATTGCTTTGGTCATTGGCTGCTTGCTCAGTCATTTCAGTTCCGCGGTTCCATCCACAGTGGTGAAAGTGACTGCGCTCTCTGATTGGTCTGCGTCCTCCTCCAGTGGCCTTCAATTAGAGGCGGGGATTTATCAGCAGCTGTACGTGACGTCAGTGACGCTGATTAAACAGGTGAAGCAGGATCTTGTAATTGCTGGTATTTCGCGTTTGCTCTCCGATCGATTAAGAGCTCGTGGACTTCAGTAAAGCTTCTGCTTCAGTGGGCAGGATTTGAAAGCAGGGCTGCTCTGTCACCATGTTTGACCTGAAGAAGAGGAATAGTTTGACTCTGAGGGACAGCCGCGGGACGGAGGAGTTCAGACGAGTGGCGGTCAGACGGAAAGTCCAAGGTCCTGTGGGTGACTGTCAAACCTCAGGTGAGA